CGTGTCTCTCGATTCTCAGAACTTGTGTAAATAATACTTTTTGTGTAAAGCTATTAGAGAGCTAAGCGCCTTTACGGGAGAAATAACGCCCGAGCCAATAACGTCCTGGCGCGTTGGGGCGTAAATACACGCGCGTCCCGCATGTTTTGTTAGTGTACCGCGAGTGTATGCGGAGTGTGCGTCGCAATTTTCGCTTAGAGAAAGGTCCGCAGCGCGCGGTTCCGCGTGTCTCTCCCGAAAACGACAGTTCGGCGGACAGTACCCCGTCTTGCCGGGCTCGCGTCGTTAATTGTGGCGAACCCGGTCGTAAACTTTGTCGTGTTTTGTGTTTCAGACGAGCGGAAAGCTGGCGTTGAGCGCAGAGTAATTTACTTCCCCGTCAAGGTGAGTTGATAAATTCGTTTTTACCTCCGCGAATCGTCCGATTTCGCGCAAACTTGAGAGGGTCCGAGCGAGCCACGCGAGCCATTCGAGCCCTAGTCGCCGCGATTGACAAGGATTAATTTATCGCGCCGATATTATCCTCGGTCGCGTATAAATTACGTGCGAAACGGATCGATAAATTCCCGCGCGAGCGGCACCGCGTATATAAATTTCAAGGGTAGCGAGTCAGCGTGTGTTGCGCGAGCTGCGCTAATAATTATCATGTTACGGGGATACTTTTTTTTTTAATTGTTAATTACGAGCCGGCTTCGCCTTCTCCGCTCTACGTGACGGTCCCCGATAAGATCGTCATTGTTCTTCGTATTCCGGGAAAGACCGGGTCGACGCTAGGATACGCGCCGCACAATCGTCCCCCGGTTTCTCCGCTTTTCCACCGTGGCCGTGCGAAATTTCGCGCATTCAAAATATGCTTCCTTGGCCGATCGCGTAAGGATAAGACGTCCGCTGCGCGCGTCGCATCCGAATGAGCCCGAGGACGAGCGAGGAAGACTCTCGCGATTGCTCTGCCAGAGTTAACTGTTCCATCCGTGCCGTTTTCATTCAATTAGATTCGCTATTTATATCCCGCCCGAGCCTTGGCAGTTTTACTTGACGATAATCAAGTGTCGGAGACGCGCGACGATTCTCTAACGACGGTGAAAGGTACATGGCGCTTTTAATTATGTCACCTGAACGGCTAATAAAACCGGAATGAGAGCCGTCATTAAAATTGCATATTTTCGCGTGCTCGCTTAAATCGCTCCTTTTAATGCTATTACTTAATCGACTGTAACAGCTGATACTCGCTGTTACGGCGATAACAGCCGATAGGTTTCTTTGTCGCGGCGTTGCGAAATTGCCAATACCTTCAACGCCCGTCCCCGCGACTATCGTGTCCGAATTTCTATTTTACGCGTTACCGGATGAAGTAATTACGCGCGAGGTAAATACCGCCCCGAGAGACGCAATTTTCCCAAACGCTTATTAAATTTTCCCTTATGCCTTTTCTGGAGAATTCAATTAACGCGAAACCGTTACATCGCGATGCGGGGATTAACGTAAGTCGCTGTAACACCTGACGTGGATAACCAGTTTCGACACGAGAGTGAAATAAAGCTTTCCGTTTCTTTTCCCCTGGATCGAGAAGAAGAGGAGGAGAGAGAGATAGGGAGAATCACGGAGCGTGACTGCGGATCTCCTCGCGCGCGCCTCAGCCGTGAAATCGCAGTACATCGCAGTCCCCTCTCACTCTCGTTCTCCGTGTCCTTTCTCTTTCTCTCTCTTCCTCCCTGCTATAGTTTAGTTCGCGTCTTTATTTCGCCGCTCTTCCTCCCGTCTACCCCCCCGGCCGCGGTGGACGGAAACGTCTCGTCTTTCTCGAATCGCTACAATAATGGCCGATCATTATTTAACCGCGTGCTATCGCTATATTGCGATAACCGACAATTACGCGCCACCACTGATACCAGTAATTATTTAACGTGCTCGAGCCCCCGTCGGCTTCCCTGGCGTCTCTATCGAGCGCGAACTTGATCCCGTTCTCGACAACATAATTGCAACGCCAATTTTTATTCCGTAAATACGTGCGCGCGCGCGCGCCACGTTAGGATCGATCTTTCCTCAGGAAAGAGAGAAAAAAAAACTTGATTAGACGTCGCAGAGTTCTTTCGCTATTTTAACATTGTGTTCCAGCTCTCTAGCGTCCCGCTTATCGCGCCGCGCTGTATTATCGTCGCTCCAAAAAGTAATTCCTTCGCGCTCGTCACGGTTCGTTAATGTCTCGGCGGAGCGTGCGCTAATGGAAAACGGACGGACGGTAATTTGAACGCGGAACGAAGGGGATCGATGGCGGACGTCGCGGATTGTCGCGCGTATTTACCGAATATTAATCAGTCCGCGCGTCGTCGAGCGGGGGCCCTTTGATCGCCGCAGCCTTGGCGCGGGCGATGTGTCCTCCGGAGAATGGATCGATACCCGAGACACACCGCAGGCCGTCTTTTCCCGTGTTTTCGCGTGTAATCATCGTTGGGGAGCGATCGCGCGATTAATAGGGAAGTAATTGCGGCGATCTATTGTCTGTACGTTTCGTATAGTTCGATTGCGTGGCTCGCGTGACGATAAAATACGTACGTAGTGCATACAATTCTCATATGGCTAGAGGCGCGAGGGCTTCCTGGAGTCGCGCGGGTATTACCGGGGCCGATGAAAATGGGAAACGCGGAAACGTAGAGATCGGAGAAAGTCGTGCGGGCGCGCGATGGGAAAACGCGTTGTAAAATCAGGAATGGAAGGACGGCGGAGGTGCGAGGGAGAGAGAAAGGAACAAATTTATATGTGGTACGATAATGTAATTTAGACATGGCCAAGTAGGATTGAGCTATTAGCATATTGAGGAGCGACGTATGGAGGTGAAAAAGCCCCGGAACGCCCGCGTGGGGGATGGAGTGAGCAAACGGGAAGAGTGGATAGTCGGATCATAGACATATAAAAGATAGACTGCTTATGAGGCAGTGGAACCCTAGGTGGGGGCATCCTCCTGAGGGAAAAAGGACAACATGAATTTATTTGGGTATCTGTCTTCCTCTAGTGGACGTGATCTGAAGGCGATCACGTGATCATGCCCACGTGATCACGTACACTAGAAGAAGATAGATACCCAAATAAATTGGTGTTGTCCTTTTCCCTCAGGAGGACATCCCCCACTACCTCATAAGCAGTCTATCTTTTATATGTCTATGAGTCGGATATTGGCGCGAGAACCGCCGGCGATACTTTGCCATAACTTGTCGCGGGCCCAATTTTCTCTTGCCGTCGATCGTGGAGCTCGTCCCGTTTCTTCTGTCGTCGTAATTGTTCCGTGGCGCGAGAATCCCCCTACGGGTATGTTCGATTATTCCGAGGCGTCTCTCTTTAGCTGTCCGCGGGATTAAAATCGCGTTTTCCTTATCGATAAACGGGCGCGCGCAAGTCCATCGTAGCCTATTTCGGCTTCCCTGTCGCCTCCTCCCCGGAACATGTCCCGGAACTACATCGCGGGTTTCCGCTGAATCACCCTGTACGTAACGCGGGGTGGACAGGGAGAGCGGGTGCCGCGGGGGGTGACGGCGAGGGAGAAGAAAGTAAGGGAAGAAAAGTGGAAAGAGAGAGAGAGAGAGAGAGGGAGGGAACGGGAGTGACAGAACGAAGGGACGAGGGCTCGGCGCATGCGTGCCGACGCAACAATATGGTGAATTCCGCGAAGCGGCCCAGTATCCGCCCGACCGTCAGCTGATCGATATACTTCCGCACGCACGCCACGTCATACGCGCCGTACCGTGAGCGACACGCATGTCATGTCATGCTGTGCATCAGGCTGACCCGTTACACGCCGCGACTTCGCGCCGCGGCTTCGCGCGGCGGCGTCGTTGACGACGACGACGACGATGACGACTCTCTTCGCGCTCGGCCCGTGTCTCGGAATCCCGTATCTCCATTACGTCTATCCTCGTTGCCACCGTCCACGTTCTCGCCTTCGTAGCGGCGGATGAGGACGGGCTCTCCTCGAGAGTGGCCCGAAGGTGAGAGAAGGACCCTCGGCCAGCCGCAGGTACGTCGAAACGCGCGTCGTCCGTGCGGACACCCCCCCGTGGTCGAGTCGCGAGCGTGCTAACATCGGTCGCTTTTTCGCAGTCTTAGTCATTTGGTTAAAAATTTCAGTGACGTCTTTGAAAAGGAATCAGGTTTACTTTCTGTAAGCGCCCAGATTTGGCATGGTCTTAAGCCGATCGAAGCTATTCGAGATTTAATCAGTTAGGACACTGTCACTTGGGTGTCACCATTCGCCAGTTCTACCTTTTGTTATTTAAAAATAATACGAGTTATTCTATTGTTGGCCGGTAACAATAGACAATGGCTCCGAATTTCCCATTAAACCAACTAATGGGAAATTCGGGATTGTTTTACTGTTATCTCACTTTGCTAATTTCTGCCAAGAACGTCTCTAGTTGTCCAATATTCGTGCGGCATTCTAGCTCCCCGTCTCTCTGCCAGGCGTCGCATTCTCCGTCGATGAATTCGTCGAGGCGCATAATCTCGTCGGTGTCGAGTGTCGCGGTTAGTCAGCGCTTGCCGCTCACGTAAGCCACGTAATCGCGTTTTCGGTATAAACAACCGGTCGCCGGTTTGTGGAGTATGCTTCTCGGAACGCGATAATCGTGCGGCCTCTTATCGGAGGATCTGGCCTGAAAACTCCCGAGTTTTATCAGCCGTGACCCCCGGGGGTCGCGAAACGGGGGGGCTTCTTCCTTCGCAAGCATGAAATTGTCGTCGCGCGGCGATCCCGGAGAGTCGTTCATTGACTCTCCCTCTCGTCGCGTTCTCGCACGCTCTTTCGTTGCTCTCGCGCTCTCCTCCGTTCCCCCGCGACGCATCGCGATGCATCCGCATTACTCGCGCGCACATTGCAGCTCGATGCCGCGCGCTGCATCGCGCCGTGCCGCGCATACATCGCTCGCGCGTAGCATACGCCGCTCCTCTTTCCTCCTCTCCTCTCTCTGGCCACCACGGTCTCCCTCCGCGAGCGATTCGCCCCACCAGTACTCGCGGCTCCTCGCGACGAGGAAGAGGTGGACGAGCCTCGGCCACTTGGCGAAGTTTACTCGTGTTCTCGGCCTAGTACTAGTTCTGGCGCAATCGCGTCCGCACGCGAGACTTACGCTCGCGCGAAGCTTTCCTGGCCGCAAAGACGCTTCCCCGCGGCGAATCCTTCAGCGAGAGAATCAGGAGGGACACTCGGAATCCCCGGGCGTTGATGCTCCCAGCCGCTCTTACCAGGTTCGTTGGCGTCGATCGACTCTTCCGGCCGCCGAGCGCCGTAGGTCCGAAAATGAGAACCGGAAACGGAAGGACGTCGTCGGCCGGTCCGTGTTTCCAACGACGACGCGCAGCCGCTTGTTGGTGTAAAAGATCGTTCTCGCGTGGGAAAGTTGAATGAACCTCGGGCGGCTGCAGCTGCTGCCGCCGCTGCCGCTGCCGCTGCGTTTGGCACGTTCATTGTCCCTGACCTATCCCGGGGGGGAAGGGAAGGGAAGGGGGCGTCTGGAATTTTCAGCCTTGAGTGCCCCGATCGTGATTCGCGAGCGTGCAGACTTGTGCAGTCGACGAAGTGAAGTTTGCTCTCCGGCGTACAACCTGGTGACAGTGATCTAGCAAAAGTGCTCAAGGTTCCGCGCCGGCCAGTCCTTGGGATCTCGTCGCAAGGGCATCGTTGATCGTTTTAACGACGCGTTTTCTGTCGTTTCGACCCGCGAGTGGCTGTCGATCTCTGGACCGATCTACAGGCCGCGTCGTCGCCGTCCGCGACGCCCGTCGAGTAAGCTCGCACGTTCCCGTCGTTATTTTCATCGCTCGTAGACGCCGTAGAGGCTTGAGCAACCGAGGATTTAATAAGGACACCCTCCACCGACGGCGGTATGCGGGTCAGGCCTGCAGTGACCTCGCGTAGATTCCAGAGAGACGCGCGTTGGTTAATCGCGACGATTTATCTCCCAGGCGGTTTCGCAATTTCTTCTAGAAACGCCACGTTTATGGACCACTCGTGCAGAGCCGGCCCGCCGTCTCTGGACGGCGATAAATAGTTGGGCGAATAGTTATAATTAATTCCGCGCACGTGATAGCGATACTCGCTCGTGGTCTCGGCGCACTTTTATGACCGCGCGCGATGCGCTCGAACGTGGGACGCATAAGCGCGTTTTTCCGCGCCGGCTGTAAAAATGCGCGAACCGGTCGCGGCTCGGAACACAATTTCCATTCTGCCGAAGCGCCGTTTTGTTATTAATTAATGCTAACCTAATGGGCTCGTAACTTTTCATTTGCATCAGCCTGTTTATCACAGGCGCGTATCTGCGCGTACAATTGCAATGGCGCAGGCGTTTACGGGTGAAATCTCCAGGTGCGTTCTGGCTCTCGTTGCTCGAGTGGATGTTTCTTTCGTTGTTTTCTTATCGCCCCAGCTAGTTCAGATAATGCGTATCGACAAGCTGGAATTCTTCGAGGAGCCATCTGAAACTCGAGACGCGCGAGGCGAACGCATTCTAATTATCGTGTTCCTCCGCGCACAATAGCATTAAGATTGACCTAAGAGATACGTGATGTTAGATCGCGAGACGTTAATTATAATAATAATAACAGGAACACGCGTACGCATATTAAGCGACAACTAAAGCCAACCACTGTCTTGATTGCGCAGGTCTCAGTGTTTTCTCACCGCGCAGACTGCAAGGGCGGACATCATAATCGGTGAGTAACTCATCTCGAATGAGTCTTAATTTTTTTCCGCCAAACCCGCGTTCCGCGGGATCGCCGTTCGGCGCGTACGTACCCGCGCACGCGGCGCGGACGACCCGTGCGAAAGAGACTCGCGGGAACGTTCCGGTTGCGCCGCTACGCGCGGTGGAAACGAGTCGCGCGCTGAATGGGATTGCGATTAGCGAAAAGCGGGTCGCGACGTTTTCGCCCGCTGGCCGCGAGAGGCGAAGGCGAAAGCAAAAGCCGGTGCAAAGCAAAACGGTCCGTCCGCCGCGCACCGGGGGGACGGAGAAGGGTTAGGGAAGAGGGACGCGCGAAGTGGTCAGACTGGTGTAACAGGACGTTACCCCCTGGTTGCATGCGGCAAGGGCAGGACGCGATATTGTTATTGCGCCTTCCTTCATCCTTCGCGCGCTCGCTTCACTCGGCTCCGCTGCGGGCGCAGCCAGTGACTCTCAAACCTCCCTGGCCCTCTCCCCACCTTGGAGATCGTTTTAATTCCCGCGGCGATCGAGTTCAATTTTCTGGGTACACTGCAAGAAAGCATGTAAAATTACGTGCACAACGAACGTGGCAATTACAAATCTAGAAATCTCTCTCCAAGTTGCCAGTAACAGATAACGACAATCAAGCTTTTCAGGCGACATTAACCGGCCAGTGTTTTTGGTACAGAAAATTTATTGCGAAAAATATTACCTCAGCCAAGGTTTGAACTTGGACCTCCCTACTCTCTAGACGTCTCACCAATTAGACCACTGAGGCAATTACACTATTAATAACGGAAAAATATAAAATTCAAGTTTGAAAACTTACCATCTCATGTTAGTCTATCCCGTAATAGAGGACTTCCTCTCCATAAAGCTTGGATTTTTGAAAATTTTTAACAAAATTATTATTAAAATAGTTATCCCTCTTTCTCTGGTGGATGTGGTAATTAGTCAGTTGTAATTTGCAACATCTTTCTGCCCTTGTTTTTACATTCTATACATTTTCTATACTCGAGTTTTTTTATTATACAAAAGCTCATTCTCACTCGTAATTATTTTTCTGTGCAGCTTGTCTAACGCTTTGGGGGGCTTGTCCCGGCGCGTTTAATAAATAAAGATTCTATTCTATTCTACTCTCTCTCTCTCGGTCGCTCGGTACCTATTGTATTTACGGATTCACTCGCGTTTTCCTCCTCTCCCGTTTTGCACTTTCCACCTTCCCCCGTTTCCTCCGGTGAGTAATAAAGGATTAAGTAGACGGAGTCGAAATTCCTGTCGATCGCGCGCTTCGCTTTTTACCTTCGATCCGCCGCGTTCCATTCGCAGTAATATTGTCACACGCCTCGCGGATTCCCGCTTTTCGTCGCGCATCGCATTCCCATTACATTCCGCCGCGATGTCCCGGTTCGTTGGGAACGCGAAGTAGCGAAAATAAATGGCCCCGCGGAGATTAAACGTCGCGTCGCACATTTCGCCTCGCGGCAACGCTATTTCGCCGCGTTTCCCCCGCGATCGCGTTACTCGCCGATACGCGAGACCGTCTCGAGTGTTAAAACCCCCTTGACGGCGCGGTCCCTTTTCGGCGTCCCCGAAATTGTACGCGTTCCGTCACTGAGCCACCGTGTCGAGTCAGGTAGACCGCAAAGGGTTAACTTAATGCTACAAAATGGGATGGTTGACGCGGAGCCGAATGAATCAGTCCTTATGGCGGCATCAGCGAACGCGAACAATGGCACTCGGTGGTTTCGCGGCGTTTCCGCAACTCGATCGCGCTGCTATTTTGAAATTCCAAGTTGTGCCGGCACTCGCAGGGGCGGCGCATCGTAAAAGATGAAGTGTATTGTTTTTTCAACGCGTTTAATCGCACCGTAGTCTCGACGTGTCCTCTGAATTATCAACCGGCTTCGCCGTTGACATTAGGATTGGCGAAACGTGACGCGCGTCTCGTTTCGCGCTAACGGTGGATGGTTTTACGAGCTTTCTGCTCTCCTTTTCCATCGCTGCGTCGACGAACCCGGCAGCCTAAACGGCCCCGGCTTTAAGGATTGTGTTTCCGACTAATTATTTCTCTCGCTGCAACTAGGTCGATGTCAGCTTTGGCACGTTTTCGCGGGCGCGGCGGGCTGACGATTCTCTTTCACGGCACTCCCCGTTTACGAGTTCGTAGCGAGGAATGCGCCAGAGGTCGTCTGTTAATCTCTTAATCATCTCATCATTTATCTCCGACCGGCATATTTTCTTTCTTTCATGCGTAGCGTCTCTCGTAAATGCGGTCGCGTCAACTCGTTGACATTCGCCGAACGAGATAACGGTATTTCGACAGAGTGCTCTCAACGCACAGCTAGAGAGATCGCGTCGCATAGAAATAATTTCCATTTAGAGAATTAAGGACCGATAAATCACGGAGGGGGCAGAGACACGGCAAGTTTCGCGCGGGACTTGCGAAACATTCTGTACGGCGAATTCGCCACTCGCGTTTACAAATTTACGAGCGTTACGCGGAAATTCCTGCAAACAACGCCTCCGGCGTAATTAACGCCAGACATCATCGTAAAATTCGTTCGCGTCCGAAAACGCGGCATAATATTACGTAATATTAATCAAGGACGGTCTAACAAAATGCCCGTAACGAAGTGTAGCCGGGGGGAGAAAGAGAGCGTGCTCGCGCGCGCGTATGCAATTTCGTACGTTGAACAATATCGTGCGGGCAAATAATTACTTTCTGGCCAACACGCGCAACTTTGGCTGTCGGGGTATAAACGCCCGGACTTTTCCGCCGACTCCGAGAGAGAGAGAGAGGGAGGGAGAAAGTGCCGGTACCTTCGCTCGTTCGCGTGCCCTACGTTCGCGCGAGACGCAAGCCGGAGGGCAACGTTTGTCCAAATGATCTTTGTTGGGCGTGTTTCGCCCGCGTTCCAGCCAAGTTATCGCGGCAATTTTGCAAACAGCCGCCGGAAGAGAGAGAAAGAGAGGGAGTGCGCCTCGGCCGAATCTCACCTCGGCCGAATGAATGAATTTGTGGACACGCGGGACGGAATTCACACTCGCGCTAAATAAATTTGGTACTAGCTCTTGCTCGGTCTTGTTCGCTTCCGGCTTGTTCGTTTCATAGGGTCTAATTTTAAGCTTGGCCGACCGGACGAACGAACGAACGAACGAACGGACGGACAGACGGACGGATAGATGGGCGTTGGGTGAATGGATGGATGGATGGACGGATGGACGGATGGATGGATGGATGGACGAACGGACGAGAATGCACGTGGAACGTGGAAGCTCGTTAGATGCTCGCCTTATGGAAATAATTGGATCGTCAGCCGCAGAAACGCGTGCGATCGATTCGCGCGCTGTTTCGAAAGAGCGCCACGATCGTTGGATCTCGTTGACGAAGGAGATCGTTGCAGCAAAGATCTGAAATATCAATTGATTCTGTTTTTTCACCGAATATCGTTTAATAACCGGAACGATTATTTGCATTGAAAAAAAGAGATTTTTTTAATTGCGTACGTCACAGGAAAACGATATGTTCTCGTTACAAATGTTTCTGTCGATTTTTGGTATTTTATTGAATTTCGTTGAAACGAACCGACCGTCGAATGCGCGTAATATTTAATTTAATGTAATATTAATATTTAATTAAAATGTGAGTTCTGTAATAATGTATAATTAACAAAGTGACGTGCATTACTAACAACAATTAAACGATATTCGCGGAACATATGAGAGAATGTTTAATCATTTTTCTTCAATTATTCTGTCCTTAAGGCGTGTTGGTATTACGTTACACGGCCAGTTTGAGCCAGTATTGGCACAAAGCTTAATTCGATTTATATCAAGTACAAAAGGGATGGCCCTATTAAAGTGGCCATATCTAACCGCCTTTAAACAGGTTGTCGTCGGTGAAACGTCTTTGAACGGCAAATTGGCGCGAATAATGTTCGCGCATTTAATTGTCGATCCGTCGACGTCCGAGCAATCGATCCGAACGGCTGCGAAGTTTCGCCGGTGCGTGCAAATTGTGGATTCCGTGGTCTCGAGTGTCGCGCGACTTCGGGCCGTCAAGATATTCCAAGCGGATACCGAGAATTCCAGAGGCAATCGCGAATAGATCGTGTATCTTTAACGCCGCCGCTTTTTCGCGCAAAGATCGCGGCCGCCTGTGGAGAACTCTCTATTTGGCCACGTTGTTACTACGCAACCGCGTCCGTACGGGGGCTTCCGGCTTTCCAATCTTCTTGTCCGTCACGTACTTTGCATATTTCTTTTCAGTGGGAACCGAGCGTTTTTATAGGCAAAACCCGCCTGGCGCGTCTCGGCCGGCTCTCGCGTTCACCGCGAGCGCTCCCCGAGCGAAACGGGGACGTCTCGCATACCGGGTATCGAATTTTACAGGCGTTCGGGCGGCGTTAATCATTCTATTTCGGGGTCCCCGAAGAGCGAATGGTGCGCGACGCGTGCATTAGCAGACGCGTCTCTCATATACCCACTGACGTCAAACGTCCAATTTCTAAGCCAACTCCGCTTAGCCCCGGCCAATAATCTCGCGGTTCACCTGCCAGTCCCCGCGCCGACGGCCCTCCCTTCCCTCCTCCCTCGCCCTTCCCCGTTTGCTCGCCCAAGTCGAACATTATGCTCGGCCGCGATCGCGGCCGAAGTATGCGCGCGTATGCAACGCTCATCCATATTCATGCTAATTTCCATGCGGCTGTACTCGTCGCGCGCGAACGGTCGATTTTATTTTCCGTTTAATAATGTCGTTCCACCGGCGCATCATGTGCCTCATTTGCGCGACTCGTTAGCGATCCTTTTCGCCTCCTTTCGGGGATTCGCGCGAAAAGTTATAGCGTGGAACTTGTCGCCTTTATTCTAAGCTTGTCTGGAAAATGTATAACGAGGCTTAATCGAGAGACCGATGTGGTTCCACGGTATTTTTCGCGGTAGGTACGCATAAAAAAAAGCACTCTCGGAACAGCAATAATTGCGGGAAAGAGGGTAGATCCGAGA